TATAAACAATCAGGACAGTCTGAAAGGCCTATCCCAGGTTCAGAGCTCTCCATCAGATCACCTGAGTCTTTTGTTGCGACTGTATCACAACCCAACTCCTCCTTCTGCCCAATCCTGCTTTCTTCACTCCCCTTATGTGTTGATTCCCAAGTCGCTCCACCAATAACCTTACTGCATGCAAAGATTTGTTTCAGAATCTGTTTCCTGGGAAATCTGACCTGAGACCTCTCCACAACATGCCAGAACAGAGGCCGCTCTGCCTTTGAATGGGCCGGCACGCAGGCTGTTCTCTGGAGTCGAGGGTACCACCAGTCCCGGGATGATCTCTAGATGCCCAGAGGCTTCACTGAAATCCTTCCAACGAAGGAGTCACTGAAATTCTTGTGAGGAAGAACCTAGGAGGAAGGGAGGTACACAATAAGAGACAGATGGATATAAACTCACAGTTTCCATCAAGTTTAGGGCCTGAATCGTATGCTGAGAGAGAGGGGTTGCAAGGAATAAAAAGGGTCTAGCCAAGACATTTCATCTACTCCCAAGCTCGATGCAAGGAAGGGTCTACAAGCTGGTGATGCAGGGGCCACTAAACGGACTGTCAGTTCCAGGGTACAGAGTAACCTAGTGACTGGGACTCACTGCTTCCTTTCAGGTTGGGAAGGGGCAGCCAGGCTTAAAGCACTGAGTGACCAACTGACCGCTTCTTTTCCTTTTCTTCCCTGTGCTGTGAACTGACTGACAGTCAGGGTTTTGTGTCCAGTTGCAGAGTGACAGCCGAACCTCCACTGCCCTGACCCCACTGCCTTGTCCCTCTTTTTACAACAGAGCAAGCCTTGATGCCTTCCTCCTCCTCCATGCCTTAAACTCAGGTGGAATTTAAGTTGAGAAGATTCTTAGCTGCAAAATGGGCATGATCTGACTGAGAGGCCATTGAGTATATTTTGAACCTTCAGAATACCTGAAAAACATAGTTTTGCTCTGGATGTGTCCAGACGTAGAAGAATTAAAACTATTTCCAAGGGTTCACAGATTAAGCAGAAACCCACAAGACTTGGAGGAAGCAAATTTACTGGTGAGACATTTTTATCCACTCCACTTGACCTTACCTTAACTAACTGCATCTGCAGGGACCCTATTTCCAAATCAAGTCACACTTTGAGGTACTGGGGTTTAGAACTTCAAGCTGTGAAGTTTGGGGGCCAGGACACAATTCAAGCCATAATACCCAGTGAGGATTGCGTTACTGCCCTTTGCCTGAACCCCCTGGTAAAGAGAAGAGGAGGGGTTAGGATGGTAGGAAATCTGAAGCTGTTTCAGACACATCTAGATGGTAGCTTACTGGGAGGAAGTGAAAAAGAGAGCTCAAAGGTGGTATTAAATACCAATTAACCAGCAGACTTGTTGGACAATCACACCTGATAAAAAGTCACATTTCCATAAGACATTATTCTCTTAGTAAGTACTGGCAGCTGGCACCATACCTGAGCTTATGGAAGTAAAATATTTGATTTGTTTGGTCAAGTCCAGAGGGCTACAGTCTGCATAGTAAGGGAATGAATTCACTAGACTTTTTGTCTGTGCTTCTCCAAAGAAGATATACAAAAAGCCAAAAAAATCATGTGAAAAGGTCCTCAGTATTGTTAGTCACTAGGGAAATGAAAATTAAAACTTCCACCCACTAGGATGACAAGAATCCAAAATATGGAAAGTAACAAGTGTCGGTAAGGATGTGGAGAAACTGAAACTCACCTACGTTGCTGGGAATGTAAAATGGGGAAGCTGCTATGTAAAGCTGCATGGTGATACCTCAAAAGAGTTAAACACGGAGTTCCCACATGACCCAGAAATTCTACTCCTAGGTCTACACCCCACAACATGGAAAATAGACACTCAAATCCTTATACAGGAATCTTCATAGTAGCACTATTCACAGCAGTCAAAAGACAGAAACAGCCCAGATGTTCATTAACAGATGAACGGATAAATGAACTGTAGTTATACGTGTACAATGGAGTATTATTCAGGCATAAAAGGAATGAAGTACTGATTCAGGCTACCATATGGATGAACCTTGAAAACATTATGTTGAATGAAAGAAGCCAGACAGAAAAAGGCATACACATTTTCCACTCCCTAGTCCTAGGGCAAAGGCCATCAATGCAAAGTCGCCATCAATGTAGAGGTGATTTACAATCAGCAATCCAGGGGAAAAACAAAACAAAGTAAAACCCTGATTTATAGCATGTGCCAATTTCCATGGTGTAAATACTTCTAACGTGGCCAATCTCAAGCTGCTGGAGTCACTGAACTCAGGGATAAGAAGAGATGTGCAGAATCAGCTCTTAGGGGTTGGTACAAACTGGCTCCAGTACCAATTCCCACCCCGCCCTCTTCTGCCCCCCACTTCTTACCGTTAAACTTCTTCCTGGAAGTTGGTTGTCTTTTTCCTCCTAACCTACTCCTTCTAGAATTTATCAGCAGATTTGGTTTAAGAAGTACGCTTGGCACATAGAAGTTGTTCAATAAGTATTTGGTGGACAAATGAAAGAATAAATGAAATCATTGTTAGTTGCTTCACTGACCTTATGTGTACAGTGAAGGAAAAGTAGTTGGTTTGAAAGGTACCCGGAATTAGCAAGGGCACTGCACATGAGACAGAAAACTTAAGTTCAAGACCTGGCTCTGTCCTGTAATATCTACCTCCCTTGGGACAAGTCCCGTAGGGGCTCTGGGCTTCATTTGGATCATATGTAAAATGAGGCTAAGAAGAATCTGCTTAACGCAGAGAGTTGCTATAAGAATCAAATGAAATAATATATAGTAAAAATTCTACGATGCTGTTTTCTCGGTATCACTGCACAGCAGAATCTGAAATTTACAAAAGCTACCAAACAGTTTGTAAGGACATTCAACAGGAACTAAAGTTTAATAAATGTAACTACTGATGCAGGGTAATGAGCACAGGCATTGAGTCAGACAGATGTGGGTTTGAAAACGGATTCTGCCACTGATTTGCTCTATGACCTGAGGAAATCACATCACTAAAATGCAGATAATGATACCTACTCCATCAGGTTTTGGCAAGAATTGTAACGTGACAGTTTAAGAGTTAAAATAGGCTGTTATGCTGGGGTAAAAGATGGCACTCAAATCTCTGTGACTTCAAACAATAAAGGTCCATTCATATTTCCCAATCATAATACGTGTTTACTGTGTTCACTGCAGATAAACTTGGGGTCGGGGTGGGGGGATCCGCTCTATAATGCTTCAGGGTCCAGGTGGACAGAGCAGCTTCAATCTGGAACACTGCAAGCTGCCTACGTAGAGGGAAAGCAGGTCTTACACCCGCATGGAAGTGATATATATCATTTCTTCTTGTATCTCATTGGCCAGAACTAGTCAGATGTCCCCACCGACCCCAAGTCGGTCAACCACAGTCCTCCCTGAAATACTGCAGACAGCCTGAAATATTGAGGGGACAGCTTAACATCTACCCCAGACAGCATACATGATAACCCTTGGCCCATTTAAATGCTTCTATTTTTCCTCCCTTTCTAGGTGTGAAGGAATAAGATGCTTTCAACCAAAAAGCTTAAAATTTATTTGATCCGTATACATTGTGTAACTGCTCAAGAGTTTCCCTTCGTAGTTTTATGAATGTGAAGGAGGGGGAGAAAAACCTACTAGTTTAAAAATGGGCCCCAGAATTTCTTTAGAAAAAGAAGTGTATTTTAATTCATATCATCTTAGAAAGTCATTTTATTGGGGGAAAATAGCCCCACATCAGGGTGGCTGGGCTAGGAAAAGACCTCGTGAAATTACTGTACATTTTAAAGAGAGAAGAATTTAAAGTTTCTTGAAGCAGGCTGGGAAACTTTCTAGAAATAAGAGATTCGAATAATTAATTTAAACTAACCTGCTCTGGTACCTAGCAATGTAGCTCCACTCCCAAATCTTCAACAAAAACTTGTTACACTTTTGGTAAGTGGTGTTTGTTGTGGGGTGGAGGATTAAGAAGTTTGTGGGGTTAATTCAGGACAAAAAGAAGAGAAAACTTCAAGCACCATCAAGAATTTAGCAGAAAACTATCACAAGAAACAAATCCCCTGAGAAGTCTTAGTTATTCTGTGAGGAAATGCTGAGTTTCCTAGCCCAGTAAATGAGACATTTTAATTTAAATATTAAAGGGGAGGGTAGTCCCACTAAGCTGAAGGAGACAGGGCTCTCCAGGCTGCTGCTAAGAGACTGAAAAAAAATAGTACAGACCTCCAATAATTGTTGAGTTTCTTTGAGGATGCCATTGGTTAACATTTAAAAAAATCAAAATTGAAGTTGATTTCTTCAAGAAATGTCAGCATCTTATTAAGATAGATCCAGCACATGAAGTACTGAAATGAATTCCCTGGGGTTCTGTTATGTTGTAGGAAGTCAGGCATGTTTCTCTTGGGCTGAGGCTGGGAGCCAGCCCTGCCTGTGTTCTTTGTCCCTAAGCATTCCTCTGCTTTCCTAGCAGTTATTCAGTAACCCACAGCCCCTCCAGGGCATTGGAGCCAGCACGTTGAAAGGGGGTTAATTTACCTCTACATGCCATGTATCTGCCTCCTGTCAAACAAAATGACATTTCTTGAAATCCAAGTGGAATTTTGATTTATAATAAACTTAGATGTGAGAGGTTTGGATTGTTTGTAGTGTGAAAGGACACATCTAAGTTTACTACATGAAAGGAAAATAAAAATGGAGTCGGTGTTGCTAAGAGAGCTCTCTAAAATGAGCCAGGAGGCCGTTAAGGAAGTGTGACTTATGCATGTCTCAGCCTGGATGAAATGTGACCTTTGACCTGATGAAGTTATCCAGAACACCTGCCAGAAACTCAAGCTATGAAAGAAATAAACAGGGTTGTTCAATGGAGGAGCAACCAAGGCAGGCCTCTTGGAAAGAGTGGTCAAGAAGGCAGCTCTGAGAAGTGACATCTGAGTGGAGATTCGGATGTGAGTGAGGTAGCTATGCCCATAGCTGAGGGTGGAGGGTTTGGAGCAGAGGGAACAGCCAGTGCAAAGACAGACATCGAGAGGAGGTGCTTCAGGCTGGAGGGTTTGTAGATCTCATTCTAATGCTCTGATGCATGAGACCCAGTTCTAGGCACATGTTTTGTAATGGGGGCTACAATAGGGCTTATTGTTATTTCATATAGCAATACTGGCACAGCAGTAAAAAAAAAGTATTTTTTAGTCCTCCTGCAAAAAATTATTCATTTTCTGAAACCTAAAAAAGGCCCTTATTTTGCATGTTAACAGAAAAATAGTACATAGAGCCAGAAGAGGTGTCAGATATCATCTAATCCAAAGTCTCATTTTCGAAACGAAAACAGAGGTCCAAAAAGGTGAAATGAAATTCCCACAGGAACATGACTTGATAGTGGCAGAACTGAGATTTGAAGTCCAAATCTCAAACTCCATATGCTCTTTTCCTAACAGACTGAGGATGAACTCTTTGTAATTGGCAGGCACTCAAACTATTCGTATTAAATATTTGTTTTGAAAATGATAAACCTGATTTTCCTCCTCTGAAATGCTTCCCACTTAAGTTTTCTATCTAGCTTGAAGCTCTCCTAAATTCAGTTGTTAAAAAGGAAACCAACTTTGAGGTGTTCTCCCTCTTTCTTACCTGAAGGTGCAAGCAGCGTGTGTAACACCCTTTGGCCACCAGAGGGAGCTGGAGACTCCTACTCAGAGGAAGTGGTCCTGCTTCCGAACCCGAGCTCTGCCTGATCAGCCTCAGAACCTTCCAGGCTGACTATGGGGAGGCGGAGCTCGAGACAGGAAGTGGAGTCGGGGCTTTGGCTCGCACACCTGTGGCCCCTCCCACTTGCTCACCTGACTGGCCCGGGGCAGCTGAGTGAGGTTACTTCACCTTTGTTGAACAGCTCAGCCTCAGAGGGCCAGGTTCGCCAGAGCCGGCTTTACGAGCAGAGACACTCCCGCGCCAGCACCACCTCGCAGTATTTATAACAACGATGAATGTGGGGCTTGGAGGCCAGGCCAGAAAGATTAGGCCTCACTCTGAGGAGAGGTGACCGAAGCTTACAATTCTAAAGAAAGTATGTCAGGTGGTATGAGCTTACTTACCAATTCCCAGAGTATCAGAAAGAGGAAGCACCGCTGAAGAAATGGAAGGGACTTTCTTTGGAGGAGCAAAAGGAAATGCCCCTTACATGGAGTGAGGAGTCAGCAAGGGCAAGACATTTGTGAAACCACTGCCCTCAAGCCTGATGACTTTGGCCCACGATTGGCTTCGATGAGTCCAAATTCGTGCACAGAATCCTGACCCTCCCCGAGTGTCTCTGTCTGAGAGGCTCCTGGGCCAGGAGTAGTTTATAAGGTGGGAAACTGTGGGGTTTCTCTCCTTCCCACTAGGACGTTTGCTGCTTTTGGTGCGGATAGTGAAGTAAACAGGAAAAAGCATATGTAGAAAACTCAGCATTTCCTCTCGGATGCCAGATACCCATATCCAAAGGTACCAAAGGAAGGGGTGCGTGTGAAGAGGCTGGTTCTTTCCTAATAGTATGACGTGGCAGGGGGCCTAATTACTCTACGCCTTCGTTTTTTCATCTGTCAAACAAAATAAATATCCCGTTTAGGACAGTTTCGCAATCCTGACAAACCTGCAGGACAGAGCAGCGCGGCGCAGGAGGAAGGTGGATAAACAGCCGGGTCCCAGCAGGTTGCCGAGCGGGCCGAGGGACACGCCCCCTCCACCAGCACCCCGTACTCCGATTGGTCCCCCTCGGAGGGGGCGGGGCCTATGTGCCCCCGAGGTGGGCGGGGCCCGGGAGCAATGGCCTAAATTTGGGCCCCCGTAGGCCTCGGGTCTCCGGGCTCT